GGGGGGGGGGGGGGGTGGGGGTGAGGTGGGAGGGGGGGGGGGGGGGGTGGTGGTGGGGTGTGGGGGGCAGTGGGGGGGGTGGTGGGGGGGGTGGGGGGGGTTGGGGGGGGGGGGGGGGGGGGGGGGGGGGGGGGGGTGAGTACCTTCACGAGTACATCCGCAGGTACCTGCTCTATACGGTACAAGGCACGTATCCAAAGTTCCCTACCTTACCTATGAGGTAAGTAGTCTTCAATGTCACAGCAAGCAGACTGGAGCAATACTTCAAGGAGGAAGGAGCGGAGAGACATGAGGCAAGGCAGGCGAGGCGAGACAAATGATAGTTGGAACCGGGAGGAAAGGAGGAACAAGGCAAAAAAGTAGGGACAAACTTGGCCAACTCAGCTTACCTATGGAAAGTGCCTATCCGTAAGGTGAGGTAGCCAAGACAATGCAATCAAGCGCAGATGGCCCCCAAACTCAAAGGGATCCCCCTATCTGTGAACGCGACCTTATTCCCATTTGGTCCAATAGAATACCCAATCGTACATCGAGTTGTTGGACCCTGAAAACCACTTGTGAAGCTGAGTCCATGTCAAGCAAGGCTAGAGAGAAAGAGAGAGAGAGACAGAGATACCTTACGTCTCGGAGGGTGAACTCGCAGTTCGCAAATTGGCATTACTCGGCGACACTCCGGCAAGAGACCGAGCTCCTCAAGACAGAGTTTTTCCAATGCTCCAAGTCTCCATCTCATGGAGTCATGATGCTTGGACCCTTGGAGTGGAAGGTGGAAGGGGAACAAGAACCAGCGGAGATGGACTTGCACACTTGCGTCAAATGTCACCGTGCAGTTCTTTCCTTGGCCTTGAACCCTCCAAGTTGGAGCGTAGGACAGAATAGCGGGGATGGGTGGGGTTCTATCCAGACCGATTTCCCACTGTAGGCGAGGCGACAGATGCGCATTGTGGTCGGTGTCGGATCAGTCACCATCACCTCAGACTTCACTGTGAAAGCTTCCCGTTTCCGCCGCGGACCCTGTCCGCAACTCCAGCCTCCTCCTCATCTCACTTCTCCACCACTTCCCCCTTCCACTTGGGATGTCCACACTTCGGCTTCCGTCCAAACCGCCAAATCGCTCAGACATACGACTGCCGCCGGCTCACTATGGCATCCGACCGCGTCAAGCACGCTGACAAGTGACAGTGGACTGGACGTGGGGTGAACCGCGCGGTCTCCATACTACCTACCACCACCTGCACATACAATCGCGATTCGCGATTGAATCACGGCTACAGCCTACTGGTCAGCGGCACAAACGCCGTGCCCCATATTGCTGCAAATCTTTACTCCAAGACTCCAACGTCTCGATGATCTCGTTACTCCCGACTCGTCGCACACTCTCCGGCGCGATGGAGTTGTCTGGTCCCCCAATTCCTCCATCGTTGTCCGTCGCTGGCACTGTATGAGTCGAGTCCACTTGTTCATCTACAATACTCCGACGACTCAACGTCTCCAACTGAGGCATACTCGGCCTACCTAGTCCTCGATGGCCACTTCCAGCCTTCCACTCGATACTCCAGCTCCAGCGTTGGCCCAGTCCTCGCGCATTCCGCTTCCTCTCTTCTCTTCATCTATCAAGCTTTCGTAGCATGGCTTCCATCAACGATTGTGATATTCGACAGTGTTCATCGATGTTTGTACCACCTTTGCCCCAAGCACGTGGATTCGGACGCTTGGCCAGCTTGTCTAGCTTGTCTTATTACAATTTACTACTGCCGTTGGCGAGCCGGAGAAACAACTTGGGGGCTGTGGAATGATCAGACCACCGATGGGCCGAGGCCCCGCGGTGACCTACAGGCCTCTCTTGCCTGGAGATCATCCAGATGAGCGTGTTACAACTTACGGGCTGTCTGGGTAAGGGGAGAATGGTCTAGACCACCGGTCTCCCCGCACAATGGCTCCCTCATGCGGCTCACAGCCAACCCAACTCACGCTGCAATTTGAGCCTCTCACAGTCTTAGCGCGACGCTTTCCAAGTCTGATTCCCTTTGTTACTGGATGAGCCTGCAGCCTGGGGCATTGGACGGGAGGAGTACGGATTTCTCGATGCAGCCCTCGATCCACAGCGGATGAAGGAATCTGCCAGACATCTCGATCTCTTTCACGCCCTTGTCCTCGACCACTCCAATGTTTCGCGCTGGCAGTTTTAAGGCGTCTGCGTTTTCGACAGCCGACTGATGCCTGGACACACTACAGCAAGGCCTTGGCTGAAAAGGGGTGATGTTCCGGCACCGATGGGAGAGACTGGCCTGCGATGCTTCAGGGCAGATTCCTGCAAGCGCGGCACCGAACATATTTCAAAGATGGAAGGGTTACTGAATTTGCTGGGACTGGTATGGTCATATACGTCATGACTTTCCAAAGGCGCGATGGCGAATTTCGGCGAGCCGTTGACTCTGGGTAAACGATCACTGAGCCAGTAGGCCTCACAGGCCTTATTACAAATTGCCATGCTGTGAGGCAGAAATGAGACACAATACTATCCTCCAAGCCTCATACCGATGTAGCTTGGTTAGATGGGATGGGTCTCGCCAACACAAATGCTGTACGGATCCATAGGCATGTTAGGCGCACGTTTTCTCGAGCCACTCCACCGCCGATGCTGGATAGCTCACTCTCAGGATTACCTACACCTACCTGCTATTGGCCTCGGAAGCGCATAGCCGCCCCCAGATCACCAGTTGAGCACGTTGCTGTTACCCGAACTCAAGTCAGTTAGATGCGAGGGTGAGGTTACGGCAAAATAAAGCTCAAACCCAATTGGGCAAAGCTGGAGATGTACTACGTAGGGCGAAGTTGGAGGACTGGACCGGGAGATGTGGTTGTGAGCTCCAGTAACAGCAGCCCGATGCTTCCTTTTTCCTCTTGGACTAGGTGCTGTTACTCTGTACGAATAACGCATGATGCCGTGTCGCAGCTGTGCATCAGCAGTACCCAACGCCCAAACTCACAAGCCTAACAGCGAAGAAAAAGCAATGAAAAGCAGGCAATGATCTGGGAAAGGGTCTCGAGGATTCCGATGTTTTGCTGCGTTTATGGACAACAGGGGGTTGATCAGCTATTGATAGTACACAGCTGCGAATGCGATGCCTATCAGTCAGGTATCCGCCACCCGGCCTGGCACGCCTTGTTTAGAATTTGAGGCTAGCGATCCATCAAGTGATGGGGAAAAGCCAACGTCAGTCAAGAAGAAGGCGCCAAAGCAGGAAGACAAAAAAGTTTGAATTGCAGGGAGCAGCACATGGAGCTCAAGGAGATACGACGTACGTACGAAGTGGTAGCGGGAGCGATTGTACCTGCCCCCTGTACTCTTGATGTACCGCGCCGAGTACCCCAAGCGATACGTACCGGGAGGCGACTTTGGGTGACTGAAGGAGGCCCAGGACCAATGTGGCTGGGCGTCCGGGCCAGACACGGGACTAACAAGACACCAAGACCAGAGCGAGATCGAACGAGTGGGCGAGCAAGCGCGGTCCCTGTCTCTCGTTCTTGTTTTCTGGGGCTCTTGTTCTTTCCTCCCCCATCCCCTTGCACTTTTCCTTTGAAAGTAACCTTGGATTTTCAACATACTGTAAACAGTCGGCAGGCAGGCAGGCAAGCTGAGCAGATCAAGTCGGCACGTTGTAGTACTTGGCAGCAGGAAGAAAACCTACTAGCACGAGGGAGAAGCGTGGAGGTACTTTAGCCACAGACCACAGGCCACAGTACCTTACCTCATTCTACTGCGTACCTTCTCGCGCTTTCACTTGCTACTTGCTACTTGGCTACGTACTCGGACACAGATTGCTTCCCTTCCTGACTCTGTGTCTGGAAAGTGGCTCGGCGGGTCGAGTGGCGAAATGCAAGACTGGGTCGCTCTCCATCGGATTCCTCCACCTGCCGCCCTGCTCGTCTCTTGTGTTGTTTGTCGCTGCTCTACTCTTGTCACTCTGTTCTGCAACGTCTGCTCTGCACCTCGCTCTCTCGTTTCCATTAGCCCTTTTGTCTCTGTCTTCGAGGTCTCCATCTGTACCAGGGTTGTCTCATACTTGGTCAGTCTGTCGATACCTGTATTACTATGTTCATATCCCCATTGAGCTACAAGTGTATGGATCAAGTAAGGTGCCTTGATAGGCGGATATTTTGCTTTCTCTCTCTCTCTCTCTCTCTCTCTCTCTTACACATCATTCTCCCTCTCTGTGTCTCTCTTCCTCGCTCTCTGCAATTTCTCGATTGATTGTGATTCGGTAGCTCTCGTGCTTAAGTGCCCATACCGTCGTATTCATCATGAGAACAAGACTTCCATCTACAAGTCCATCCCTGTTGACACAAGGCGACAAGCTACTTTCGTCTAGTTTAGTTCGTGGCCCGGCCAAGTGGGAGGGCCACCCGACCACATCTGTGTCCCTTGCACATCTCAGAGCGGCAGCCAAGAACCGAAGAAAAAAATCCCATCTTTCTTCATCCAATTTGATGCTACTGGTTCCAGAACGGGCACCTGGCCATGCACATCAGTTCGTTCCCACATCATGGATGCTCCCCTTACCCGCATCGCCTCTTCTACCGCCACCCCTCCCTACGGTGTGAGGTGTATGCCTTTTTTCTCTTCCTCCTCCTCCTCCTCAATTCCCATCCCTCCTTTCTCTTCCCCATTCCATCTGGGCTGAACTGGCCAGGACTGAGAGCGAGACCTTCTACCTACGACCTAGTATAGTGCCTCTGTGCCTCTGTGCCTCTGTGTCTCTGTGCCTCTCTCTCTCTCTCAACCTCTCTCACTCTCTCTTTCGCACACACATACACATACACTTACACTCACACGCCTCTCGCCTCTAAACCCACCCCTCCTCGAACGCCACTTAACCCACTGTCTGGCCCGGTCGTTTCCCTCTCGCCTTACCCGTCGCTCACCCAGACTCGACCTTCGACTCGTCCTGTCTTCTCTCTCACAACTGCCTCGGTGTAGTGTAGTCGGGCGGTCCTCTCTCGCTCATCAGCACTGCCATCTCGGCCTCTTCTTCGTGATATCTTTGAAAAGAAAAGGTGCGACGCATACACTACGACAACAACGGACGCATAGCGGCGAAGTGGTTGCCGCCTACATCTCGGAGCTCTCCTCAAGTCGGCCAACGGCGCAATCTTGGAACCCACCTCCAGTGCTCCAGCACCTCCTCGACAGCTCCCCCGAGCTCGAAACTGTGGGCATTATCCTGCGCCATCTACTCTACTTCAGTACGTGCGTTTCTGGCATCCCACAACTTCTCCAACGTTTTCTCTCAAACCCCTACGCCTCAGTCGCCGCTTGCCCATAGCTTTCTTATTGCTCAACAAGTAACTAGGATTCCGAGAGCCTCCACATTTAGCTTGCTTGTGCAAGATACCCGGCCCTTGGGTTTTGGCCACCATCCTGTCGGTAACTCGTCACCTTCCTTGTGCTGCTATTCCACGCCTTTCTCTTTTTACTGCCCGGATCTCATGATAGCCGTTTCCTTCCTTCTTCCATAAATATCATTGGGCGTTGGGAGAAGAAGCACTCTTAGTGTCTCCTTCATCACGCAGCTACCACAGCAACCTCTAACTGGTACGCCAGGACTATTCTGTCTAAACCCTCGCTTACGTTGACTTGGTCTTTTTCAACCGGTCGAGTCTCGTCTTGCCACTGGGGGCTTCTCAGTCGTCGACTCTCCATACTTCTTCATTCTCTTGAATCGCACTGGATTGGACGTCCTCTGCTGCACGGCATCACATCGTCACCTTAACGTGTATTCATCCTACCATCAAGTCCTGAGCTCGCATTCGTCTTACATCATTGGACTCGTAACTCGTAGAACATCCATCTACCAGTACAGCAACAACCCCTGCGTCGGCGCCCCGAAGTTCAGGTAAGAGACAGCCCTCGTTTAGTGGCAACCGCACCATACTGAAGCGGCACCTCTCCACACGATGTACATGCCTGGAGTTCCCTAACCTAGCCCCTCGCGTCTCGTTTCTTCGTCCTTCCCGTCATCTTCGGCAGCTCCCCCTCCATCACCCTGGTACCAAAGACTACGCAGCCCCCCCTGCTTCGGGCTCTTCTCTGCATTAGTATTGGACGCCCAGACGAGCTGATCGCCTTCTAGGAATTTCATTGAGCCACACATCGCACGCGCTCCTTCCTGAGCAGGGTTAACTGCCACATATACCCTTGGGCGCTCGGAAGCGTGACTTTCCAGAGGGAAATCCCCCCCTTTCCTTCAAAGGCTGTGCAGACTAGCCACATTGGCCACAACGTGGGCTTTCACTCATCTACCGCAAATAGCTCAATCTTGTTGTGGCGCCTAGAATCATACATACTTCCCGTCACATCCTGACCGTCTCTCCTCTCGTCTGGGTTTTGCTCCGTTAGAGCTGTCAGTCGACCCAGAGCTCCGGGGGCTTGGACTAGTGCTTTACCGAAGGTATAAACTACTAGATGGACCTCAGTCTGGCTTGCTGGCGCCGTTGGTCCCGGCCGCCGACGTTTGGGCATTTTGCTAACTCGATTACGACAGTTTGTGGGCGGCTTAGACTCCGATACAGCTCGCACCATCACCATACAAATGGGAGATGTTCAATCTCCTCCCAACGTCACCGAGTATCCTATTGTGGACTCTCACCAGGGCTTAAACGCAAACGCTGCAAGTGTTTCGCCCATTCTTCTAGACGAGAAGTCCAGGATGGAAGCTCAAGGCATCCCCCATCTGCAGCACCAGCAGTACGGCCCTCCGCAACATGCCTTTTCGTCTCAACTCGACATGGCTCAGCAGCCCGCAGCCGGTCGCCCCGGGAATTTCAACATGAACAACATGGCGAACGCGCTGCCCCAGTCAAGCATGAGGCATGGCCATTACGTGCCCGGTGGCCAGCCGCAGCATCAACAGCAGCGATTCAGCCCGGCCACATCCTCGCCTTCGATGATGCCGCAGATGCCACAGATGGCTCCTCAGTATCCTGGCCAAGGCGCGATGCCCATGGGAAACCCGCAATACTACATGCCGCAGCACCACCAGATGCAGCACTACTACACCAACCAGCTCTCTCCGACTCAGCAGCAAGCTCGCCCAAACATGGGATACTACCCGAGCCAAATGGTTATGAACCACCCGCAGCATAATCAGATCCCTCAAGGGTACTACTATCCTCCAGCTGGCCACTACTCCCAGAATCAAGCTCTTCACAATCCCATGGTCTCGGCACAGTACATGGGAACGAACACCGGACACAGCGACCCTAGAGTCATGCCTCAGATGCCCAACGGAATCGACCCTAGCGGTATGAACGCTCCCTCGAGCCACAGGTCAAGTGGTATTGCGCGCTCAGTGCCAACGTGTCGGAGAGACATCACTGACCGAACTATAGATGTGGGTGAAGGTCGATCCGGGGTTGTACGCGGGCCACCGCGAAAACCGCGTCAAAGTGGTTAGTCTTGTTGCAATTCAAAGAGTCAAACTCGCTCGCTGACAATATTATCAGGACATGCGATCTGGGTTGGAAATCTTCCGCCTCAAACCGACCTCATGAACCTCGTCCACCACGTGTGCAAGGAGGCAAACGGCCTCGAGTCCCTATTCTTGATATCGAAGAGCAACTGTGCATTCGCCAACTTCAAAGACGAACAAACATGCGTGACGGCTCAACAAAAATTACACGATTCTAAATTCCAGTCCGTTCGCCTGGTCAGCCGCTTGCGCAAGAGCACTGTCGAGGGCGCAACAGGTGTTACAGCACCTACAGGCCCAGCGGCCTCTTCTGGATCGCAAACGCCTCACGATGTCGCTGCACCGCCAAGCGCTACTGAAGCTACTCCCGAAGTGGCAGTGGCAGAGTCCAATGATGTCAAGCCCGTCACCGCAGTAGAAGCAACATCTCAGAAGGATAAGTTCTTCATCCTGAAAAGTTTGACTGTGGAGGATCTCGAGCTTAGTGTCAGGACGGGGATCTGGGCAACCCAGTCTCACAATGAGGATACGCTGAATGCCGCTTTCAATGTAAGCAGCATGATGAAGGTCTAGTCTTGCATCTCTGACTTATTTCTATAGGCCGTCGACAATGTTTACTTGGTGTTTTCTGCGAACAAATCGGGCGAATATTTCGGATACGCAAGAATGACATCTCAAATTAACGAAGACCCGGACGCCGCTATCGAGTTTGCCCCCAAGGCACAGTCCGCTAACGATGTCGACTTGCCGAAGGCAATTCCTACCGAACCCACAGAGTACGCGCCCAAGGGCAGGATCATTGATGATTCGGCCCGTGGCACCATCTTCTGGGAAGCAGAGCGTGAGGATGGAGAGAGTGGTGACGAGGAAGAGGAAACCGAAATGGAACAGAGCGATGCGAGCAGCCGTAAGAGCGGGAACCAAGAAGCCGATGGTAACACCAAGGCTTGGGGGAAGCCCTTCAAACTCGAATGGCTGTCGACGGCACGACTGCCATTTTACCGCACCAGGGGTCTTCGTAATCCATGGAACTCGAACCGCGAGGTCAAGATCGCGAGAGACGGCACCGAGCTGGAACCGTCCGTCGGAAGAAGGCTGATTGGGCTCTTCAATAGAGTTCAGAGTCCTGGTCCAGGTTCAGTGCCGGCTATGCGACCCGGAATGGCGATGATTGCAGGATATCCGCCCATGAGGCCACAGTACCAACAATAACCGGCACCGTCATTGGTATCATTGGCGACTTAGCCGAGACTTCATTTCTCAGGCATTAGTTGATTTGGATCCGGACTCTGTGGTTTACGATCGGTTGGACATGTTTTTACGACAACAGCCGCATATGCAGGCCATGGCGAGCGCTGTGATGGTTGGTTATCTGGATGTGCTGCTTCTCAATGTATCTAATCTGGCTGTCTAATTCTACGAAAGAGTTTGGTGTATGTTGCCTATGAATTTGGAGTTAAAGGGGCGGCGCCTGGGCGATGTGACAGCTACCGAGACAGTTGGTACGGATGGACTGGTCAAAGGAGCAGATTTTCTCCATTTAACATATCCCGCCCTATGCGTTTGCTTTCCCACTTGGTCCGACGAGTTAAAGGCAAAATGCAGGACTTGAAAGAGTTGGTCAATATGCCATTTCTACTGCGAATCCACGACATGTCGTCGATCAGCTGTGGCACGTTTACGGTGGCGACATCCACATTGTGGCTTGACCCTGGAAGGGATGAACCCGGACGAGCGTCGGGATCACGACTCGAACTGCGCCCTCAAACCTTAATTGGCAAGGTTTCCTCGTCGCATGGCTGACCAGGCGCATGTCATTCAATTGCCGATTTTTGGTTACTTGAAATTGATGTCAAGATGCGCGAACTTCCCGTTCAGTTGATCAGGGAATACCTGTGGGATCGACTGCACAATGTGACTTTTTTGTCAGATCCAATTCGATGTTTTTCGTCGAAAAGTGAAGCTAGCGTGTATGATGTACCGTTACATTTGAGTGTGCAAACCGACAGATTTTATCGTCAGGGGTACGGAACACCACCACAATTATTTGAATCCACGGCACGGAGTAACAGGCCTTGAATTTCCGCCACTTCTTTACTTGGTGTCCGTCCAGACCGATATCTCGTCCAAGTTCCTGCGGCGGGGTTACTGTAATGATCGCAACGGGATGATTACTGAGGGTCTCCGTCTCTGGAGTGAGGCGAACGTTTTCCCCACGTTATGAGGTACAATACCACACTACCAGGACCACCGTGTTGTGAGATACCAAATCCCAGAGGGTCGGAGACGCTACGACGTGCGGGTTTGACGTATCCGAATTACCTGAGGTAAGAGTTTGACTCAGCAATGCCGTAAGCTGCCACCGGCATCGGCTCGTCCTTCTCAAACGGCCTGCTGCATTGCAATCTTTTTTTCTCTCCCCCGCTCTCTCACTCTCTCTCACTACCCATGTGCCATGGTCCCATAGAAAGTGGGCGTAGATAATTGTGCAACAGGTTTCGCGGGAACCAGACCGGACATGCAGACTAAAACGGGAGTCGCCGTGGGCTGTATCACACTACAAACCCCGATTTGCAGGATCCGACACGATGATGGGGATCCCGCGGGCTGGTTTGGAATACCTAAGGGTCTGGACCTGGCCATGGGCGATTGAGAGTCTGGACTCTTTTTTTTTTGTCGGCTTTCTGTCATGGACAAGTCTGTGTGACTAGGCGAGCTGGGGGCCGGGGAGGGGGAGGAGAGGTGCCCCGGCACGGACCATCCGTTTGACGTCGGGGGTCGAAATTTGATTGGACAGATGACGGATTGCGTCTTGCCGAACCCTTGTCGGAGGCCGAAACTCTAAAAAGTAGGCC